TATATTTACTGTAATACTTTATATACAACATAATAACATACACATTTAATGTATTCATTTAAGTAGCGCAAACATGTGTAATTAAATAATCAAAGCAATTACGCGATCGCAAATAACAACGCGTACATAAGTGTGTAAAAACTGTAGATTAAATTTAATTAAATTTCTATAACAATTTTATTATTTTTAGATAAATGAGCCTATCACTTTGTTCCCATGGAATATTGCGCCTAATGTTACGGAAAAATATGTATCCTTTATCGTCACAACTGCAAAAGCAATTATAGAAATCAACGGTGGAACCGTCGATATCGATATTCTTACTCAAGATGTACGTGATATCGTAGACTTTGAGAAAGAAATGCTCAACGTAAGTATGTATGTGAAGCATAAGAGTATAGTAATAAAACAATACATACACAATTAAAAATTTTTAAGTTTTTCTTACTACTTTCAATGTACTTCTTATGTGATTTTTTATGTAAATATTTGTTTTCTTACTACAAGTGCTTTTTTTCTACTACGAGTGCCTATTTTATAGCTTCATTATCTTTAATAGCCGATTGTTTAAAAAAATTTTTCAATTGGTTTAATTAATCACAGGTGATAATAGACTTTAAAGACAACTACATTAGTTCTATCGTTTCTATTCCGTTAACAATTCAACACTTTCAAGAACAGTATGATAAACAGCATCCCGAAAACCAAGAAAAGGTGTGTGAATATATATATATAAAACTTACACGTTTTACTATATACGGGTGTTCGACAATCACATTAACAACTCTCGTAGGCAAATAGAAGGAGTAAAACTAAATTGCAAACTCCTGAATCATTTTTTTTTATTACACATAATAAAGAAGTAATTATTGAATAAATTAAGCCAATCAGCGCCGAACTTTTGCCAGAATCAAGTCAGTGAGCCGTGCGGAGCGTTCCAGCACACCAGACGTGTGGTTCACCGACGTTCGGCTAAAAGTCGGCGCTGATTGGCTTGATTTATTCAATAATTACTCCTTTATTATGTGTAATAGAAACAAATGATTCAGGACTTTTCGACTCAGTTTTACTCATTATATCTGCCTACGAGGGATGTTAAAGTGATTCTCGAACACCCTGTATAAACTGTAAGAATAATTAGAATTTTATTTACAGATAGATTGGTATTCAACCATTAAAAAAGTATTTGCGTCAGAAGGAATCGCGATCGAACCGTCTGAGAAGATCATCGTTAATAAGATCACATATTTTGCTAAATTGGTATCGTTGTTAAAGCGCACACCATCTCGAACTATTGGTAACATTTTTGAACAGTGAAATTTAAATTGATAATACATCATGAAGTACGAACAAAATATCTATACAATATTAATTTAATAACGTAATAATTGTAGGTAATTACATGCAATGGACCATATATCTACATAAAATAAATGACCTAATAATATACTCAAAACTGAATCGTATCACAAATAAAACAAAGATAATGTGCAAAGAATCCAACTTGGATGTTGCTATTTGTCACGAATATGTAAAAAAATATTTATTGCCCAAAACTATACACGATGTAAGATTCATACGGTTTACAAAATTACACAATTGAAAACGTTATTATATTATTATAGTTTAAATATATTACATATGACTTCACATACAAAATTTCCACATTCTCATTCTAGATCATACAAATAATCACTGACGTTAAAAGTGCCGTTCAAAACCAAATAAAACACACCACTTGGATGAACGAGCCGACAAAAGGAGCGTGTATTGAGAAACTCGCTTATATAGGACACAATATTAAATCCGAATTGTACACCAACACAAGTGAAGTTGACAAATATCACGAAAAAGTAAGTACACTTGATACAAAAAAATATTTATATTGTATACAGCTTTTATTAGCTGTTGTCTATTCTTGCCATCAAGATAAATCGTACAAATATTTGAAACAATTTTGATTTATCTGTTCTACAAGCGTTACAAGTCATTACAAAAAAACATGTCTTAAATTTATGTAATGTACTTCAGATGAATGTCGGTACGACACATATCGACACTCTACTAAATCTATCTATATTCAAAAGACGAAAAATGTTAAGCTCGCTACGGACACCGAGTAACGAAACTTTTTCGGAGTAAGACATTTTACATTTCTATTTTTCAATATATAACATATACTACATATGGTATAAAACACACATATAAGAATAATATATGTATATCAACGCGAGAAACTTTTTAGTAATTTTAATTTTCTAAATTTTTTCTTTACCTAGTTTTTATACAGTGGATATCAATCTTGCACTAGGGAAGAATGCTTACTACAGTAAATATCTCAATAAATTCGGTAAATTTTTATAGTTAATTAAATTAAAATATGTGTGTGTGTGCAAAACCAATGTAATTTAAACCCTTTTAAAGTTTACTAATAATGTTTTTTTTCTCATCTTTTATGTAGTCATTCCTCTTGCCTATTTACAAAGTAGTATATATAGCGGTAATTTTCCGTAAGTTTCTTGTAACAATTTATAAAAAATTCAAATTCTTGAAAAAAAAGTCGTAAAACCTTGTACCTAATTTGTTTCAGATTCCTAAGCTACGGACCGTTAGGATTTACTATTGCACATGAAATCAGTCACGCATTTCATACATTTGGTAAGTAATTTCTTACTAAATAATAATTTGCTAATGAAAAAACTTGCAAACTAACATATTGTTTATAGATGGATCCGGTAAATACAGCAACGTCGACGTACAGTCGTGGCCGCAAAAGAATTTCGAAGAATTCATAAAAATACCAGAATGTTTTATCAATCACTATAATGAGTATACATTTTTGGAATCACAACATATGAATGTTTCCGTAAGTAACTCACACATATAAATAACACATTCCAAAAGTATTGTTACAAAATCTAATGAAAATTTGCGATAGCAGTTAATTTCCTAAAGATAATTTATTTTCTTTTTCTTTCAGTTTTCTAAGATTGTATATATGTTTACTCGAATTTGTTTACAGATGAACGGAAATAAGACGCTTAAAGAAAACATTGCCGATTCTGCGGGCATTGCAGCTGCATATTACGCTTATAGGAACAGAAAAGCGAAATTGAACGAGACTGAATGGCGGCTGCTAGGACTAGAACAGTATAATGATGATCAGATCTTCTTTATAATGTATGCTCAAGTAAGTACTTAATAAGATGTTTGGACATACAACAAGATATAAAAAAATGTAATTTAAGTAAAACTAAAGACATAGACAAAAATAGTGATATTATCTTTTCTTTTTTAGACGATGTGCGAAAGTTTTCTTCCGACAGAGTTACGACACCGTACTTCCGATGTTCATTCTGCAAATGAAATTAGAGTTCGCGGCAGCCTTTCAAATTTTCCTGAATTTTCCGCAGCTTACAACTGTCCCGTAGGAACATTAATGAATCCGGTGAAGAAGTGCGCTCTTTGGTATTAGAACGACGATTGTGCATCTGCAAAAATGTAAAAGCGATGTCCTTCTGCTTTGTACAAGTTATTTGAAAGATAATTTGCTATTACGTTAATACATACATATATATATAAATATACATATATATGTAAATGTAACACAAATTTATTTCTAACAATATAAACATTTTTGCTATGTATTCTTGTGTGTTTTTTGCATAACTAAGCCTTCCACAAAATACTTATATCTTTTACATCTAAACGGAACTTATTGCACTCACTGCTTGCTTGAAACTTGAAATCCTGCAAAGATATACTCATGTAAGTCATTGTATTGATACAATCTGTTTTTCTGTATACTTTGAAGATCAATAACAAAAACTAAAATAGTTCTGTTAGTGAAATATGTATATTCAAAAAATCAGATCGAATTATCATCGATAAATTAGGAGGATAATATACAAATGTATGTCATATAAACTGCAATAATCTTAATATTCACTTTTATGTTACAGATGTGCTATATAATTTGAACTTCGTGATTTCAAAAAAGTTTTCAAGTTTCTTGTGCTTAGTAAATAAGTCTCTTCGCATTTATATTATATTTGAAAAATTATGCGGTTCTAGAAACTTCTCCTCGCGCCCAATGCACTGACTAAGATATATCGATTGGACACTTAACGAAATGTATCCTACATTCAAGATGAAGGTTGGAGCATATATTTAATAACAGTGCAGACAAAACTTAACACGTAATCCAGTAGAAAACGAACTGCAACAATTATATTAAGTATACTAATTCATTTTTTTACATCATGCATCTTAAAAAAATACTGAAATCGTAAAAAATCATCCTAAAAAATACTAAACTTCCGTTATCTTTCTTAAACTACATATAGTGTATAATTATTTAAAGTTACTGTACGTAGTTGGTTGCGCACCGTCTTGTAACCAAGTTTCATTCATTCTCCAATTGACAAAGAAAAGCTGAACATTATGAGTGTGACTTTTAGCATAAATTTAGGGCTACACGGCCAACACAAGCACGACACATGCTTGCTGTAAACATTAAATAGGAGAACACGATGTAGCCCGCGTTATTTCCCAAATACGACTAGTCGGGTTTGGTCCGCGCAAAGCATTGATAGTTCGTAGACGACTTCGTAGTGAAACAATTTTATGTGATCTGATCATTTTGAAAGAAAAAAAATTACTAATTTTTACTTAAAGGCAATATTTTCTGAATTCAATTGTTGAATTAAAACACTTTATGTAGATGCGTATCAGATATATGCGTATTTAAAATTATTAAATGCGTATTAAATGCGGTTTTATAATACGACATTAAACAAGTGTATCGTCGCATTACATGAATCTTAATTACATTATCAAGCAGTAAATGTACGGTATACTTCTATTTTAAATTTTATGTTTTACGTAAATTTATATACAATGTTTAAACTAAAAGTTATACAAGTAAGAAGTATTAAATTTGAACATTTGTTTTTGACAATAGTTTGTTAGTGATCTTCATCGAAATCGCAAACACAAAGTCAAAGGAATTATTCAATTTATGTTTGCCGTTTGTGTTACAACCTTCTCACAATATGGGAACGTACAACTTAGTTATGTAAGATTAAAAATTTTAAGTAATATAAAAATATTTTTATTATGACATTTGCAAACTTGCATAAAAATACATTTGTTGCGTCAATGTTAATACTAAATAAATCTTTTTTTTTTGTTAGAATATCTATTATTTTTGTTAACTGTTTATTTGCATTATTTTTTCAGAGTATTTTTAATAGCTATATCGCACGTTACGTGTTTTAGCGTTGTAACAACTAACAATACTGGATCTATTCAGTATGCGTTATGTACCACTGATAAATGTATTAGTGCGNGTANGTGCAAAANACAANTTGATTAAATTGTGCTNGTATTGCGCTATATATCTTGTCTTATGTGTGACAATGTCACTAATTATTTCTATTTTTCTATAGCTTCAGAGATTTTAGCCAATCTAAATCGTACAGTTGACCCTTGTGATAATTTTTACAAATTTGCTTGTGGCGGATGGTTGCAACATAACCAACCAAATGATTTGTTTCCATATATTGATATTTTAAATTTGATCTCAAGAAAAGTGAGGGATCAACTTCGAGGTGATACAGTTTTATTATATATTTAATATTTGTGAATATGTGTACAAACGCAAATATCTAGAAAATTAAAATATGCACAATCGGGACACTATTAAGTAATGATCAGAAAATATGAATTTATTTAAAGTAAACGATAAATATAGTGAAGAGTAGTCAACTTACATTTGCCTCATTTTTAATAATAAACAGGTCAATCCTGTGTATACTAAAATTTTTTGAAAAATATATGGAGGTAAACAAAATTTATTTAATGATATAAATGGATACATAAAATAACTCTTAGTAGTTTTCTTGTTAGTAGAGCTCTTACCAGAACTCACTAATGACAATGATACTAAAATTTTGATAAAAGGAAAACATTATTTATATACGCAATGCATACATTCGAAATTATATTTTTTCAAGTTAGCGACAAACTGGTAGCAAGAGACAAAACATATATATTTGTCTTTTTTTTAGACTTTCAGAGTGATAGTAGACGCGCATTTTGCGATTTGCGCAGTCACTCAAGATTATCGAGAAATTATAAATAGAAGGGAAACTATTAGCCTATTTATAAAAAAATCGAAATTGTGTTGCTTGAAATTATTGAATTCTTACATACTTTTATATAGATAACACTCTGTTGAATTTTTTGTATGTGTTTTTTGTATGCTTGCAGAACTTGTAGAAAGACCCGCTATAGAAAATGATAGTACGGCTTTGATAAAAGCAAAACATATTTATGCTCAATGCATCAATAATGGTACGCATTGCTACACTATAAAAAAACCACAGTACTTATTGCAAATATTCAAACAAAAACGAATTGAAATAAAAATAATTCTATTTTATTCTAGTTTAAAATCAAGAAAAATTTTTTTTTTTGTTTTTCAGAGGACAGTAACGTGGACGGAAGCTTACGCGCCATTGTACATAGGTACGCCGAATGGCCATTGGTTATGCCTCATCGCGAATGGAACAATACAAATTTGACGTAACAAAATGTTAGCATGATTTTGCATGGAAATGGATTTAATAATGGCCTTTATGATATAATGGTAAAAAGATCTAACAAAACGTCCACCAGTAGAATTATAGTTGCAGGTATATTATATTTATTTAAAACATATTATAAATATATTATGACTCATATCAGTACGTATATATTATCCTGATTTTAATTGCGCAGAGATGTAATCGAAGTGGTGAAACAGTTATGCATTTGCAAACAATGCATAAACACTTTCGCAAACGATGCATATATAGATGAGTAAAAACCAAACTTAACTGTATAAAAATATCATTTTTTTTTAGATTAATGAGCCTAACTTTTGTTTTCCAAGAGACGCCATTCTTCCGTCTGACAAAACAGGTAGATGGAATGAAATACACGCATCCCACATCGTAAGAATTGTGAAAAAATTCATAGAAGAAAATAACGGAACTATCGAGATCGATAATCTTAATATGTATATATGTATATATACTATATGTAAATGTGTAATAAATTTTCATTTTTAATATAGTAAAATATTTGCGAAATAATCTTGTGTGTTTTTTGCATCAGTAGTCTTACTAAAGTATGTTTTGTCAACATCTGTGCGAAAACCGTTATATATCTTGCTGTACTTATCCTTGGATCTCGCGAAGATAAATGTTCGTGCAATTTAGTATACTGATATTTCATTGTTTTTGTACTCTTTGCAAGTCATTAAGGAAAACTAAACTTTTTTGCGATTATCAGTGACGTATATGATCCAAGAAATTGCACAAAGCATAAATATCTTATAATTATTTGAGTAGTTCTGCGTCACTTAATACTGTAAAGATCTTTTGTAATTTTTGCTGATATATCATACAAACTCAGACTTCATGATTCAAAAATAATTGTAAAATTTAAAGGTTACATTATTTCGGTAATTCTTCTTATTTCCACTATAGTCACCAAATTATGAAATTATACTTTTTGCGCATCAGAATGCACTAATTAAGATGCAGGTAGTCGTCACATAGCGAAATATAATGTATATTCGAGCCACCCGTTAGGTTAAATATTTAATCGCGGTATAGGCAGAACTTAGTGCGATTCTTTTTGAAAGTTCCTTACAATTGAACTGCTTAATGTTCACTCATAAAAATTGCTGGCGGGAGGATGCGATTGAATTATTTGTAACTTTTTCGACATACAAATATAATAATTGTGGAATCATTAAATGACAATGCGTTCATTATTTGTGTTTGGTTAACAACTGCATAAGCCAAATCATTATTAGAAGTTACAATATTATTTGACGTTACAACATAATTATTTGAAGTAGTAATAATATTATTATACTTAATTATAATATTAAGGTACTCCATCTTCTGCACATCGTATTTTAAACGAATCTCAATTATCTTTCAGATAGCAGAGAAAAGCTGAAAATTACGAGTGTAAGTTTTAGAATAAGTTTAGGGCTACAACATAGCCAACACGAGCACGACACGTGCTTCATGTAAACATTAGATAAGAGAACACGTTGTAGCCCGCGTAAATTTTCCACATACGACAAGTCGGGTTTAGTCTGCGCAAAGCATCGGTAGCTAGTAGACGACTTCGCAATAAAACAATTTTATTTAATCTGATTTTTTCGAAAGAAAAGAAATTACTATTTTTTACCTAAAAGCAATAATCTCTGAATTCAATTGTTGGAGTAAAACACTTTATGTAAATATATGCGTATTAAATGCATTATTTAAATACAACATTAAACAAGTGCATCGTCGCATTACATGAATATTAATTACATTATCAAGCAGTAAATATACGGTATAGTTCTGTTTTAAATATTATGTTTTACGTAATTTTATATACGATTTTCAAACACCGAAAGTTATAGAAGTAAGAAGTATTAAATTTGAACATTTGTTTTTGACGATAGTTTGTTAGTGACCTTTGCCAAAATCGTAAACACAAAGTTGAAGAAAATATTCGACTCAAGTTCACCGTTTGTGTTACAACCTTCTCAGAATATGGGAACGTCCAACTTAGTTATGTAAGTATTAAAATTTTAAATAATATAAAAGTATTTACTATGACATTTGCAAACTTGCATAAAAATACATTTTTTGCGTCAATGTTAATACTAAATAAATCTTTCTTAGTATATTTTTTTATTTTTGTTAACTGTCAATTTGCATAATTTTTTCAGAGTATTTCTAATAGCTATATCGCACGTTACNTGTTTTAGCGTTGTAACAACTAACAATACTGGATTTATTCAGTATGCGTTATGTACCACTGATAAATGTATTAATACGGGTAGGTGCAAAAAACAATTTGATTAAATTGTGCTTGTAGTGCGCTATATATCTTGTCTTTTGTGTGATAATATCAATGATTATTTTTATTTTTTTATAGCTTCAGAGATTTTAGCCAATCTAAATCGTACAGTTGACCCTTGTGATAATTTTTACACTTTTGCTTGTGGCGGATGGTTGCAAAATAACCAACCGAATGATTCGTTTCCATATATTACCATATTAGATTCGATCACAAGAAAAGTGACAGATCAAGTTCGAGGTGATACATTTATTATATATTTACTTATACATTTTATTATGTGTACAAACGCAAATATTCAGAAAAAAAAAATATGCAAAATTGAGTCAAAAGTATTAATCAGCAAAAGTATTGATTTATTCATATCAAACAATCGGAAAAGTGAAAAGTAGAATTTGTGTGTAAAGTAGGAGTAGATAAAAGCAGTGTAAAATTACACAAAATTTATTTATCAATATAAGCACTTAGATACTTTAACACTTTGTTATTTTTTTCCGCATAGAGTTCATAGCAGAACCCGCTAAAGAAAGTGATATTAAAACTTTATTAAAAGTAAAACAAATTTATGCGCAATGCATGGATAACGGTACGTATTACGACGATGTAGAAAGTATATCATTAATATTTTTCTTTAACACAAACAAATAGTTACAGTTTACAATAAAAAACACGTTTTTTTGTTGACTTTCAGAGGGCTTTGATGCGGACGAACAGAATAACTTATTTAGGGGCGTTGTAAATAGGTATCTCAAATGGCCATTGATTATGTCTCGTCGCGAATGGGACGATAGAAATTTGACATGGCAAAATGTGAGCGATAGTTTGCATGAAACAGGATTTGATAATGGCCTTTACGATATAGTAGTTCAAAGACAAACGGAGTCATCAAATAGTAACATTATCTTTGTATGTATATTATATTGATACAAAATATATTATAAATTATAATTAATTATATTTACTGTAATACTTTATATACAACATAATAACACACATTTAATGTATTCATTTAAGTAGCACAAATATGTGTAATTAAAGAATCAAAGCCATTACGCAATCGCAAATAACAACGCGTACATAAGTGTGTAAAAACTGAGATTCAATTTAATTAAATTTTTAAAACAATTTTATTATTTTTAGATAACTGAGCCTATTACTTTGTTCCCATGGAATATTGCGCCTAATGTTAAGGAAAGATATGTATCCTTTATCGTCACAACTGCAAAAGCAATTATAGAAAACAACGGTGGAACCGTCGAGATCGATATTCTTACTCAAGATGTACGTGATATCGTAGACTTTGAGAAAGAAATGTTTAACGTAAGTACGTGTGTGAAGCATTAGAGTATAGTAATAAAACAATACATACACAAATAAAAATTTTTAAGTTTTTCTTACTACTTTCAATGTACTTCTTATATGATTTCTTATGTAATTTTTGTTTTCTTACTACAAGTGATTTTTTTTTACTACGAGTACCTATTTTATAGTTTCATGATCTTTAATAGCCGATTGTTTAAAAAACCTTTTCAATTGATTTAATTAATCACAGGTGAGAACAGACTTTAAAGACAACTATATTAGTTCTAATGTTTCTATACCGTTAACAATTCAACACTTTCAAGAACAGTATGATAAACAGCATCCCGAAAACCAAGAAAAGGTGTGTGAATATATATATATATATATATAAAACTTACACGTTTTACTATATACGGGTGTTCGACAATCACATTAACATCTCTCGTAGGCAGATAAAAGGAGTAAAACTGAGTCGAAAAGTCGTGGATCATTTTTTTTTATTACACATAATAAAGAAATAAATATTGAATAAATAAGGCCAATCAGCGCCGAACATTCGCCAGAATCAAGTCAGTGGCCCGAGCGGAGCGTTCAAGCACACCAGACGTGTGGTTCACTGACGTTCGGCTAAAAGGCGGCGCTGATTGGCTTGATTTATTCAATAATTACTCCTTTATTATGGGTAATAGAAACAAATAATTCAGGACTTTTTGACTCAGTGTTACTCATTCTATCTGCCTACAAAAAATGTTAAAATGATTCTCGAACACCTTGTATAAACTGTAAGAATAATAAAAATTTTATTTACACAGATAGATTGGTATTCAACCATTAAAAAAGTGTTTGCGTCAGAAGGAATTGCGATCGAACCGTCTGAGAAGATCATCGTTAATAAGATCACATATTTTGCTAAATTGGTATCGTTGTTAAAGCGCACACCATCTCGAACTATTGG